ATCGAGGGGATTGCACAAAGGAAGTGAGGTTCAAGAAGCAGTGCAGAGGTCAGAGAGGATGCTTAGGCATAGGGAATGGCTTAGGAGAAAGAAAAGTGCTGTGACAACTAATGGATGGGGGAATAAAATGATTTCTGATGACATTTATCTCCAGCCATTTTTAATAGAAAGTGGTGAGTGTTCCAGTCTCCTTCAAGCTCAGCCGATTGCTGTAGTGCCTGCAGCCTGGCAGTGGTGAAAAGGCATGTGAATTTTTCCCGCTCTTCAGAACTCTTGAGTCAGTATTTCAGAATCACTGTTGCTTGTGTAGAGTACCTAAATTTTTCAGAAAGTACTTTGAACTGGTGCTCAGACAGACTGCTCCAAGGCCAGCCCAAGCAAAGCTGTGTACACAGTGCTGGAGGGTGGCTGGGCGCTCTAGGTAAGTGATCTTGATAGGTACATTCTGATTGATGGGTAAGTTTGTCTCCCAAACTGTCACAGGGTTTATAGAGGTGCCACTCAATACCAGTGCTGGAATTGCTTGTCAGAGGACCTGGCTACAAGAGCAATGGGGATTGGAGACAGAGCTGTAACTTTGTTTTTTCTCTGCTTAATGGCCCTAGCATCTGACCTGCCTGCTCACTCCTGTTTGTCTGGACCTTAAGGAGGCAGCTGGGATTAAGACTGTCAGAGGATTTTGCTGCTTTAGCGTCAGGAGGCTAATTGTACTGGGGCTGGCAGCGTATGACAAGTGGTTGCCTCCTAACGAATGCACAGCAAAAGCAAAAATTTCTTTAAAAAGGAAAGGCAAAGATACAGGAGAGCCTGCATTACAGTTTTTTCTCTTTTCATCTGAAAGCAGTGTTTCCAAATTCACCTGTGGAATTATATTCCTCGGGCCTTAGCTGACACTCTCCTTGTAAGAGTTGCAGCTGCTTCTGTGAATAACAGTCTCTTGTAAATTCCTAGGTCAAGCACTCAGCATCCAGTTGTTGGATTTCAGTTTATTAATACGTTGGGATAAAGTTGTGGTCCTGAGCATTGACCTCCGTATAGCAGCAGTGGCTTCAGAGGGCCAGTCTAGGCAGCATTGCTGATGGCTCTGAATTTCTGCGTGACCTTCGGAAGCCAAGCCTTACTGGAGGAACCCTTCTCTGTTCCCAGTACACGCTATTGAATTGCAAATCACTTGTGTATAGTGGTAGGGGGTCTTCTGGAAGCTCCCATTCTTCTCTGGTAGGTCCAAAACAATGCTGTTGCAAAGGCCATTTTATTCTGCTCAACACCCTCTGTGCTCCATTTCATGTTTTTCTTGCTCCAGGATGGCAGCGTATACTACTGGCAGGAGCTGGAAGTTGTGAGCCCTCTTTACACTTAAGCTGAGTTAGTGAGAAGCAGGTGTGATCCTATCAGGCCTTCCTTGCATTTAGTGGTCCTCTTAATCCATTTATAACAGCACTTGTCCAGAAATCTGGTTTGAATGAGCCTGAGAAGAATGAATAATGTCAAGCAGTTCAGACGTCAAATATTTGAACAGCTGCCTGGGTGTTTTCACTGGCTTTGTGCATGGAAGCAACCCCAGGAAGTTAGACAAGGAGGGTCAGGTCGAAATTATGGCACCAAACCCCAGCCCACTGGAACTGGCCTCAAAACCCATCCCTGCTGCACATGAAGGGGCATTAGCATGCCAGTGGCAGGCCATTTGCTCTGCAGGTGATGCTGGACTGAGCTTTGCATCCTCTTTGCTGTACTCTTGTGTGCAGGGTCAATAGTGGGATTCATGGACCTTTTGATTCACATCGGAAACATATTTTGTGGAGGGTTTTTTTCCCCTCTTTTTTATGTTTTGTGAAGCAGCTTCTGAAGTCCTAAAAGTGATAGCCCCACTTACATTCAAAGTTTTCTGTGTTCACAGAGGTTACTTTGTTTAGCATACACTTTCTGAATCACTTTTTTTTTTTTTTTACCGTGTTGCAATGGACTGCACTTAGTCATGTAAAAAAAAAATCCATATTTGGCAAAACTCTAAGAGTTGGATCATCTTATTGTGGCTTTATTTAGCTATTGGCCTGGGAGTCCTCATTTGATCAGGAAAGAAAATGTACCCTTCTGTCCCTGATCTTAACCTATGAACTTCTCTGCTATGCCCTCTTTTCTGACTGAAATACTCATATCAGGTCATCCCAGTTTATCTGTCATGGTAACACATACTGCCCAGACCTATCTCATGTGCACTCCTTGTGTAGGGAGGAGAGGTTTCTATGGCAATGCAGTAGTTCCTATTAGAGATTTAGATTCAGCAAAAGCTCTGGAGTATTTTCCTTTCAGTCTTAAAAGGGATTTTCTTAAGTACAAAGGTTTTGAGAGCAAGGACACCAGGATTCTGAAGCCAAGGTGCTTTAATATTTGTAAACTGTATCACAGTAAGCAGATGTTCTTTTCTTAAGCTCTAACCATAAACCACTACTTGGCTTGAGTCACTTGGAAACAAAATTGATGGAAAGGTGCATGTCTGATGTATGCTTTGCATCCTTGCAGAGGGAGGGATATGGAGAGCAGTCCCACTTACATTCACTCTTTTGGGCATCTTCACCCTCCTCAAGGCACTTGTTCCAAGTATTCATTGTCTGGCTAAGGTTCAGATCACCTCTGGGACTGGCCAAGTCACAGCTCCAGCTTTGCATGATTTGTGTTTCCTACGGTTACAAGAAAAATGAAGACCTGTGTGTCTAAAGTTTATGGCCTTTGAGAAGTGATGGGCTAAAGAAATGCCAGGTGCAGGAGATGGTGTTACTGCAGGTTAAATGCCATGCCTGTAAATTACCACCCCATCACCCACTGTGACTTCTAAGGCAGCTTTGAAAGACTATCCAGCTTCTTTGACAGGTCTCTCTTGCTCCTCTAAATCTTCTCCCAAACATTGTGATGAATTGAAGGAGTCAAGATTTACTAGATGAGCCATTGCAGCTTGTGACATGTGTTGGCTGGCAGCATGCAGACGATATGTGAAGTGCTTTATAAGGGGTCTGCTGGGCAAGGGCTGCCCCAGTGACACCCCAGAGCTGATCTACAAGCATGGCTTCTGCAGTACCTGCAGCAGATGGTGGATGCTACATTGTCAATGCTAGTTGTGTTACCTCTGCTAAAGATTAAGGCTCGCAATTACTTTGAAGTAAAAGGTAGTTTATGCTTCTAGGGAAAGGTTAGTCTTAAAATCATTGTCATGCTACGGTTATCACTCGTTAAGGACCTTCTTTATATTCAGGGAAGAGAAATATCAAATCCATATAAACAAATTTTATTGGGGGCTTAATGAATCAGTGAGAGCATCCATTCCTAGAGAATGACAGTAAAGAACTGTGTCTGCATGGTGTCCTTGGAAATTAGACCTTCACCTTGCCCTGCTCACTGCACAGATGTAGGCTGTTAGAAATACAGCTCACTCTTCTGGTCTGGGAAAGTGCAAGTTCGTAGCTGGCAGCACAACCTTGTGTAAGTCTGCTGTTGAGAGCCTTGTGGAATGAACAGACTCAGACATCTGTAGCACTAAATGGGCTACCGCAGTGCTTGGGAATGTCTTCATTCTTCAGACATGCATCTTATATTCAGTGCTTCTAGATTAAATTTTAGCCTGTTGTCTCCATTCAGAACTACATTCAGGGTGCAGAAATGTACCCCTTTTGGGGCATTTGTTCAAAGCTAAGGCTACATCTACCTGTTTGCAGGTGGGATGTGCTCCTGGTCTAGTCATAGACTTAGCTTACCAGCCATCTGGATGCACCAGGTCCTTCAAGCTCCAGCAGATACCCTCTGTGAGCCACGTGTCCAGGTCTGCTGTCTGGACAGCGGGGTGCTAAGTGAAGGAAGGTACTGGAGGCAGCCACAGTGAGCAAATTTCTGCCTGCTTAGCTTATATCCCCAAACAGCTTAGATATGCTGCAGAACCGAACACAAATGGAGACCTTGCACTACCCTAGATTTCAGGAGATGTTGCTTAATTTCCAGTCTCATGAGAGAGAGCATAGCCAGTGTTAGATCTCAGAAAGAGAGATCTAAAGAGTAAAAGAAAGAGAAAATTAGTTTCCCTTCTATTAATAAACCTTAGGCAGCAAATACCATGCGAAGGTTCATCTTTGTAGGTGTTTGCACACTGATTCAGGTAAAAGAAACCTGGTTACAATCAGCAGTAACACAGTCAACAAAATACTTGAGAACCAAAGTAAAATTATAAATTTTTAGAAACTGGTAATTGTTACACAGTTCAGTCTTGGATGGAACGTTACATGTTAAAAGCTTGTTTCCTGCTGGAATTGGGACTGGGCTCATGCCTGATCCGCCTGTGTTGGAAGTGCAGGACTCTTTTTGACTTGCCCTGGAATTTGCTCTCAGAAGTGCTTTTAAGGAGCTGTTAGTGACTGTGGAGTCTCTTTTTGGGTTGTTTTTTTTTCTTTCGTTCTTCCCTTCTCCTAGAAACAGGTTTCCTATTCTTAAATGTTTTATATTGTAAAAATCTAAGCCATGACTAAATGCATTTAAAAAATAAAATGGTGTTTCTAATTGTATTTTAGCCTCTGCTTGCCCCTCTGCATCTGAACTAAGGGCTAATTCATACTGTCCCTGTAGCCTTGTCTTCCCTGTTATGCAGCTTTTGTGTTAACCACGTCTCTGAAAAAACAGTCTTCCCTACTTTGCTTCCATTTTTTTTCTGCCTTTGAGAGAGACCCTTCCAGTGCCTTCAACTTTAAATTAACTCATGTGGAGAGAAAAATGTCAAGAATTATTCATTTCCAGTGTTGAGGAGCACTTTAGAGCGTAAAATCCATGAAGGTAGAGCGTTTCTTTGAGTGCTTTCTCTGCGGTCTCCTGAAGATTGTTCTTATGCAGCCTTTGGAGATGATACCCTTTGCGAGGCTGTTAAGAGTAAAGGACAGCCTGCAGACTAGTGCACCAAGCTTAGGAGATCTTATACACTTCATCTCCAATTCAAATGCTCATCCATGTGTTTTACTTTCTTCCAGGTTCTGGGTTTATTATGTGCAGTGGCAAGGAGAATCCAGACAGTGACGCTGACCTGGATGTGGATGGAGACGACACACTTGAATACGGGAAAGCACAGTATCATTTTTGAAAGGCTCTTGCTAAGGGGGAACTTAGAGGTGCATCTTCAGCTAGCTTTCATACAGCACTGCCCTGGATAGTGGTGGGTAGTCTGTGTCCAGCCCTACTGGAAATGACATAGTCTTCTCCAGCTATCATGTTATTTGAATGAGGAGGGATTCTCAGTTACCCCCTTTGAGATTCTTCTGTTGATGCAGTGCTACTTCAGACCTGGTTGGTTAAGTCTGTATGAGATATTGCAGGAGATCAAAGTTAGTGTTTCTCTATTCTGTTTCATAAGCAAATTCAAGTTTCTTCCATGCGGATAGTTTTTCCTGCTTCATGAGTAGGAATTGTGTTTGTTTTCCACAAGACACTCCTGTGTTTTCAGGGGTTTTGTGCAGTAAACATTTCAAGAACTATTTACCTGCCACTCAGAGACTGATTGTTTTTTTTTTCCTTTCATTAGACAATTCATGGACAGAACTATCATTAAGGGCAGTTTTGGGGAAGTTCTCTCTCTGGGAGCCAGGCTTTTCAGACGCAGTTTCTCCTCCATCGAGGAGGAATTCCTGCAAGGGCAGTAGGCAGACATTGACTTAGCTGTGATGAGGGGGAATGCATAGCTATAGAGTTAGATGTTATTGAAATCTGTACCAACCTTTAAGACTGAAGCCCCAACCCTTGGCTAGTAAAAGATATCTGTACCTGAAACAGAAATAGTGGATTTGTGCAGTTTAGGCTTGCAGAGGTTGAGGAACTGGTTTTCCCCTTCTAGGAGGCCGTGGAATCATGTTGCTGTCAAAAGACTTTTCTGTTTCTTTCCACCTAAAACAAACTTTAATCCAGAATTTAAAAGCAAGCCCCTCCATGGATACCACCTCTTCTTTTTGAGGTGTTCCCAGTTGGAATGAATTTGTTCTATATCCCAGATAGTGTCCTAAGCATCTCAAAAGCCTTTCCACTGTCTCCAGCAAGGCTGTATGTTCCTTAACTGCTTGTGTTCAGGTACACAGAGGCAGACGTTATCCCTTGCACTGGGGAAGAGCCAGGTGAAGCCAAAGAGAGGGAGGCGCTCCGAGGTGCTGTTTTAAAGTAAGTACTGTGCCTTTCTAATTTGCTTTCATTAATTTGAGGGAATCTCAATTTATTCAACCACTTGAGAGAGACTTAGAAGAAGCATAGTGTGATGGGTGGGTCCCCACTTCTGCCCATGCAGCCTCATAAAGCCTCCCCTTAACAACCCTGCTGCCCAGCCAGTGCCGTCTTCTTCCTGAAAAGCGCTGGACAGAAGGTGAATTCTGGCGATGGGGAAACTGTGTTGTGCTAAGACCTTATGCATCATCTTGCTTCATGATGAAATGCAGCCTCTGACTAGTATAATGTGATGCCAGCTGAATCATGTTCGGCACATTTGGAGTCTGGCACCCAGGGTACGATTTCATTGCATCACATTATGTGTCGTGGGACGTGCAAAGTAATCCTTTTGCATTCGACTCTGGGGTTGGGGCAGGATGTGTGCTCTGCCCACATACGTATGTGGAGAATGTAGGCAGACTGTATTCTGGGTGCCTGGGGAGGCATTTCAGGCAAATAAAATGAGTCTTAACACAGAGCTAGGATTGCTTTCTAAGCCCTCTGCCCTGCATAAAACAGGGCTTAAATTACCCCTCTGTCTCTTTCACTGGATGATCTTGTGAGGTCAAGGTTGAAGTGATTGATAGAGTGGTGAAATGAACTTTTCTTACTGCTTAGCCTGTCACAAACACTAGTTCAAAATTAGGTTCCACTCCATAGAAAAGTGGCATTTGCCACTCTGGATCCAAACCACTGGTCTGTTCTATACTTTGCTAACTGTGCTAGTCCATAGACAGGGCCTCAAAGATGTTGAAGCTCCTTCACAGCTAGGACAGTGGTACTGTAGCAGGAGGATATCTGTGTATCCCTTGTGAGTGGCTGTGGATGCCCAGTGCTTGGTCAGACAGCTCTGGTCCTGAGGCCAGGAGGCCCAGTTCCTTCATGTGGCTTGCACCTATTACATTGCTTTATTGTCTGGGTAAGGTCCTTACATGTCTCCTGGACTTGTCTGCCCACCTCTAAAACAGGAGAGGTGATGTTGCTTGTAAAAGCACTTTGAAATTCTGTCAAGTTTCTGTAGAAACGCAGTAAGGTAGCTGATGCTATGGAGCATGAGCCTGTGTTACCTTTTGAGTGCAACTGTCCTACCACATAGAGCCAAAATGTTAAACAGCCACAGGCGTGCAGCCTGCTCAGAAGATTCCTTTCTCTTGCAGTCTCTCACTGGCTTGCAAGTGAATAGACAGGGTTAGGAGTTGTCTGTACTTCAGTGCTGCTGTTCTTCAAATGGGAAGATGGAAAAGATGGGGCTTATGAAGGTATAAAGTTACTGTTAAAGGGAGAAGCTATTGCAGCACTGAGGATTTCTGTTCATGAATAAGGTTTTCAGAGTAAGGTTTTCATTTTTGAATTGTATATTCAAAAATGAGCCTTAGGTCACAGGCGCTGTTTGAATCCCAAGCCTTCAGTTAGCATCACAACCCCTGTGTGATTCAGCAGAGGTTACAGCTAGAAGTGCAGGTTGGGAGAACACTGGTGGAAACGTGGACTAGCACAGAAACACCTCCTGCATCAGTCCAACCGCTCACACTTTGAAGCCTAGACTGCTGGATAGAAGGATTGAGAGAGAATTGCTGGGTGGAAGGGGTAGCTTTTCCTGAGCAGCAGAACTTCCCATATTCAACCTTTAGCATTCTGCCCTTTTCTCTTTCAGTGGTGGCACACCCAGTACCCGAATAACACCGGAGTTTTCTAAATGGGCCAGTGACGGTGAGTGTTGAACTTGTAAATTATTAATTTGCGTGCTACAGGAGGGCAGCTAGATACTCCATATCTTCTGATTGAGGGAGTTCCCAAAAATGCAACCTTAACTAATACGGTTATAAGAGATAGGGGTTGGATTAACTTGCTGTCGTGTCACTAAAAGACAAACTGTTGTATCACAGAGAGCCATCAGAGCTTGACTATGTGATGGTGATGTTCAGCTGCTGGGCAGTTAAACTACACAGGCACTTGTTGTTTAGATTTTTTTCAACAACTTTTTTAACATCTTCGTGTCTTTAAAAGGGTATGCTAGAGACTTATATCATCATCTGTTGGGTAGGTCTTGTCCTTGCTGGCCTCTGTATGGCAAGAAAAGCCTGCAGCTCTGAAGCCTGCACCTTTGGAGTGGGAACTCTAGGATCTGTCCTACTTGATGACCTGTAGTTGAGACTCCAGAGCAGACGAGTGAATATGACATTGTACTTTTGCATCCATTATTTGAAAGCTCATAGCATTAAGGGCAGAAGGGTGTTAAACCCATTGGACCGCTGTGGTTTTTTTATTTAATGCCTGCAGCACTGGAAGTGTAAGCAGCAACCTAGTGGAAATATGAGAATAATAAAACCTGGCACTTTCCAGCTGTAGATGCCAAATCCATTTCCAGAGCTGGGCAGTACTACTCCAACTCCCTTAGGAAGGGAACTGAAGCTCGACGACCTGAAGAGACTTGTCCCAATGATTTTGTTCCCTGTTTTTTTACTGTAATGCTTTAGGCATTTGATTCCCAGTCTTGAAAGTACCTACAAGACATAACTGCTTGCCAGTGGGAGGGGGGGTGAGTAGAACCAGTTTGCCAAAGGCATGATGATTAAATGGAAGAACATAGGATATCTATCGCAGGCGTTTTCTTCTGTGGGATAGGCAATCTCGTTTATTTTCTGTGATGTAGGATCACTCGCCGTTAGGTGTGTTCAGCTTCGGTAACTACAGCCACAGAGGTGATGAGGAAGCAGCCCTGATGACATTTGCTATAAGCTGTTTTCTTCATACCTTTTACCCAAACCCACAGTGCTGAAGCTGCAGCCCAGGGGCTGGCCCCAGGAGGGTTCATCTGGTTTATCTCCAACTGGTATCTCACACCTCCTGCAGTGCTGGGAGGAGCCATAGCATTGTTAGTACTAGGAGAGCTGTGAGCAGGCTTTTCTGTCATACTAGTTACCTGGCATGTATTTTTCTCCCTGTCTTTGTCTGAGGTGTCTCAGAAAAAGGGAGAAGCTGAGAATAGGGTCTGGGCTGAGTGGTTTTGATCCAGGACTTAACTTTCTAGAAGTATGCTTTGGCATGGCAGCCTCATCAAATCACTCTGAATTAAATCCTGGCTTGAACAAGTGATACATCTGTGAGGGGCAGAGAGTATAAACTGGGGAGACTATAGGGATTATATTTTCAGCCCTGACTCATAGAAGCATGCCATCCAGAGAGAGGTCCTCCCTGCCAGATAGGGACATGTAGCATAGAATCATAGAATAGTCAGGGTTGGAAAGGACCTTAAGATTATCTAGTTCCAACCCCCCTGCCATAAGCAGGGACACCTCGCACTAAACCATGTCACCCAAGGCTCTTTCCAACCTGGCCTTGAGCACTGCCAGTGTTGGAGCGTCCACAACTTCCTTGGGCAACCCATTCCAGTGCCTCACCACCCGCACAGTAAAGAGCTTCTTCCTTACATCTAATCTAAACTTCCCCTGTTTAAGTTTAAAGCCATTATCCCTTGTCCTACCACTACAGTCCCTAATGAAGAGTCCCTCCCCAGCATCCTTATAGGCCCCTTTCAGATACTGGAAGGCTGCTATGAGGTCTCCATGCAGTCTTCTCCATGCTGAACAGCCCCACCTTTCTCAGCCTGTCTTCATACAGGAGCTGCTCATCAGTCTCTTCTCCCTCTTTCCAAGAATCAGCATGAAAGTAACTCATCAGGATCCTCTGCTTCTGAAACTGTAACTTGCTCAGACTATTTCATTGCAATGATCATATGTTCTCTTACTAATTTTTCTGGTTTGCCGTCAACAGAAATGCCCTCAACGAGTAATGGTGAAAGCAGTAAACAGGAGACCATGCAGAAGACCTGTAAGAACAGTGACATTGAAAAGTGAGTGTAAAGTGGATAGCTTTCGTTTTTCTTGTTTTAAGGAACTGTCGTGTCCCATCTGGCATTCCCAGAAGCAATGCTACTCTGAGGGTAGGCGTGTTTGAAGTTTTAACCACTGAGAAAAGAAGTTGTGCTCCAATGTGAGGCCTGAACTTGCGGCTGTGGGTGTCCTGACTTGCTGCTGCCGTGTCCACAGAGGGCCTGTGGGGGAGTTCTCCCTCGGGTAAACTGCATGGACAGGTACCCAGTCTCCAGGAATTGAGCACAACTTCCAAATGGCTTCTCCACTACAAATTGCCCTTTTTTACAATATGTAAATAGGTATATCTGTGGTTTTCACCATATTCTAGTTATGGTGTGTTTTCACGTATGTTGTGTGATGCCTAACAGCCTAGACTAGAGCTGGGACTTTGAACAGGAAGTGAAGATTCAAGTCCACTTTAACCTGACAAAAGCAGTTGGCTTGTCAAGCTGTACTTTGATTTTTATTGTTCTTATTCCCTTTTGCAAGATTTCTGCTATAAATGTATCATGGGATCCTGCTTTTACTGGAGAAGTTACCTTTGTAACTGCAAAGTATCTTTGCATCTTGGGTTTTGAGGGCAGACCTTCGCATGGTCTCTATTCTGTTTTCTCTGTGGTACCTGCATCTTTCACCCTGCATCTCTCCAGCAAAAGGGAATCCCAGCAGCCCTGTAACTTGGCAGAAGCATCACTGAGAAAATTTCTTCTCATTTAGGATCCAGATTTCAGCTTTGTATGGTTGCTAATGGAAATAATGTCTTTACCTGCAGGCCTTCCAGTTAATTCAGAAGTGCTTGATGTACAGTAGTGCAGGGGCTCCTGGCCATCTCCTCTCCTGTCCCTTTCTGCTCGCTGGATATCCTGCAGCCTAGCCCAGGACAGAAACAAATAGTTTTATCTGCACTATGCATTTGAGTAACAACCTCTATCCTCAGCCTCCTTCCACACACTGCTAGGGTGACTTACTGCTCAGGCAGATTTGACAATCCAAGCCTAAAACTACAGGCTCTTCACTGCTGCCATGGACTGCATTAATTGAGATAGGGCAGTGTTTTAAGTTGGTTATTGCCTGACATATAAAATGTTGCCCCAAGATCAAGCGGAAGACAAAACAGCTCAAATGAGATGGAAGCAATGAGGTAGTTGTGAGTTTTAAACAGATGGCATTTACATTTTGAGGATGAGGTCCATTGATAATTTGTGACTGAGTTAAAAATCTGGTGGTAGCAGTATGCTGACTTTACAAAAAGTTAGGTTTTTAAAATGTAGTTTGTTCTCCTCCTGTCCCCTGGTCCTGGCGCATTTTGGGATCTCTGACAACTCAGCCAGCCTGGCAAAGCATATGTTCACAGTTAGGGGTTAACTGGGGAAACTCCCTGCTGCAGAGGAAACTTTAACACTGCTTCGCTGTCTCGGCACTTTCCTTTTTACAAGGTTTTTTATTAGCATGTCCCAAACATGATCTGTCTGCTTCTCAGTAAGCAGACTTTGTCCAAGGACCACTGAGTTTGGAGCTCACAGGTCCGTGCAGAAGCAGCTTTGTCCTTAGAGTGGGCCAACCGTTGCATGCTGTCTTGGTGGCGAGGACTCATCCCTTCTGTCCTAATCTGTCAGCCTCTATCTCAGCCACTACTTGGTTTCCCTTTGGGCCTCCTGCCTGTCAGCCCAGCAGCCCTCCAGCCTCCCAGATCCACTCCCATTGAAAATCTTTAAACTGCAGGAGCTGAAAGGATTTGACATTTTCCAGAACACTTGAGCTCAAGTGATGAAATTGACATAGCTTTAATAATCTGATCAAAGAGGCTTTAGCTAGCACCTTTTGAAGGATCCCGGAATCCTTTCCAAACAACACTCATGCTAACAGTGCTGTGAAATGCAGGGAGCATGTGTGTGTGCATGTGCATGCACGTATATGTGCACACACCTTGTTCCACAATACCGTGCCCCACTAAAGCTTCAGTTCCACAAAAGGTCCAAAATGTCAGCAAAAACCAATAGAAATTACAGGAAAGCCTTAAGTGTCTTGCTGAGTCTTTCCAATAATTCTGATTTTTTGGAATTGCAGGCAGAGGTTGATATTTAAGACTCTTTATTTCTCCATGGTTCAGAAAACAAGATGATGTTTCAGGTGGAGAATTCCTGTCTGCCGCCTTTTTTTTTTTTTTTTCTTTCCCCCCTCTCCTTTCCTTTGAGATTCATGTGTGATAAATAGTTTCTGTCCTGCCATTTAAGGAGTCTGAATGCTCTGTGTGCTTGTCTGTGTAGAGGGGTTCTGTTAAATTAATTGATAACAGGGATCAGAGCTAGAAGCCTACAGAAAAGGAGGGGGAAGGGTTTCACACTGTCTGGCTGCTTCCCACTCCACTGCTGAGCCATGATATATGGCGACCCAGCCCAACAGGCTAAATTGATTCATCTCTAGTTCCTGTTTCTTAATCTGGAGCTAAATTGGTTTCATTTTTCTTGTTTTGGGCGGTGCTTACAGGAACTTTTTGGCAGCATCACTTTACTCCATTGTTTGTAACTTTAATTTTTGCCTTTAAATCTGAACATTATCGATTGGCATGTTAAACCCTCTGTAGCATATGATTAGCATTTTTAAAATTGTCCAGAAGCACATGGCTTACCCCGTGTGTCAGCCGTGCTCTCCCTTCGGAACAGCGCCTAATAGAGTTAGCAGCGATCCATGTATTGATCCTTCTCTCATAAGAGTGGTGTTCCTTCCCCCTCCCCTCTTCCAAAAAAAAGCCTAGGCAAGGGGAGCAGTGTGGTTTTGTTTGTTTTTTAATCTATTAATACAGTACAGCAGGCAGTCCTCCTTTTGGCATGCAGCTGAAGCTCTGCTTAGGCAAGTTAGTTTAATCTAAACTTAGGGTTTTGTGGAAGAGTCTCTTGCATGTAGAATGACTAATAGGGTTTGGGGTAAGTCTACCTTTCTTGCCTCACTCCTTGTGCCAAGTCAGGTCATCAATAGTGTGGGCAGGTTGACCTCATCTGTGTTGAACTTTAGATGACAGCCACAGGTAATGAGACATGATGCTGGTCCCAGCTCTCCTTTGCAGCCATGCTGGGTCCTTGGTAGCTCGGGCAGATTTCTTACCGTTGACCTCATCTGTGTCGCATTGAACTTCAGATGGCAGCCACAGGTAATGAGAGAAGTGGTACTGGTCCCAGCACTGTGAGGTGTCCTCAGCCCGGCTGAGCTTTTCTAATCTCACCAGTGTGAGGTGTCTGGGAGAGACACCCTGGGGTGCTGAAGGCTAATGGGGAAAGCATTGCACTGCTGGCAGCCCATTGCTGAAGACTTGACTCTGCCCATCTTGAGTCTCTAGATTCAAGATGCAGCTTTGCTCAGCCCCTGATAGCCCAGGCATCCTCTTCAGCTCCTCCACCAATGTCGTACTCTCAGCCAAAGCACTGTCATGCACAGAGAGCTGCAGAAACCACCTTCCCCACAAAAAGTCTTCCTCCCACTTCCCTCCCACCCTGCTGCCTGCGAGGGTCTGGTGCCATTTTGAAACCGAGGTTCCGTGGGGTTAAAAGCCAGCATCTTAATTCAGAGTGCCAATGTTCAATTTTGCTTTCTGCCACCAGACTAGATTGCAGGCCAGCGAGAGAGTCTGGGTTAGTGGCCCACTGGGTCACCTCCCATTTGTTTTCCTCAATTTTGTGTTGTCATAAATTCATTCCAGCCCGTTGTGGTTGATCAGTTTATCTCCGCCGGGGCAGGGAGCGCTGCGAGCATGATATATGGCACAGAGCATTGTAGCCAGCCTCTCCATGAATCACTCCAGCTGTTTGGTGTCAGCCCCAAAGCAAACAGGACCCGGCCGCTGAGCGTTGACTACGATGAGCTCAGTATGGGAAGAGACATGACGTATGAATGTTTATTTAATAATTCTCTAATATTTCCAGCGGAGTGTGGCTGTGCCTTCTGGGAGGGGTGAAAGGCGGGGGGAGGTTGAAGAGGGAAACTCTAATCTGTTGGGGTGGGTCATAAATCAGGCAGACAACATCATTAATCAGGGATGGGACAGAAGTGGAAGGAGGTGGGACTGGAGCTGCCATCCTCAGTGGGAAGGGGGCTGTGCTCTTCTTTTTTTCCCTTAAAACAAATCTTGTTTCTGATTCCACTTGGCCCCAGCCACGCCACCCGCATAATAGCAAACCCGGACACAAGGCTGGTTAAGTGAGTATGCTACCTCTGCTATAAACCTTCAATACGAACCTGCCAAGCATTAAATCCCTTTATAATTATCTTCTTTATATAACACTTCATGCTCATCATGCTTCATTGGATGAGATGCTCGTTGGGTTAAAAAGAGAGAGGTTTAGAGACAAAAAGCAATTGTATTTGTTTTTTCTTGTCTCTTCTTTCCTCCCCTTCCACCCCACCTTACCTCTTTCCAGTTGAGCTGTTCTGAAAGTGTCAGCTTCAGAACGTCTCTGGTGTGGCAGCACAGGAAGGAGCATCAGTTAGAATTAAACAAAGTTTAGTTTGGGGTCCTTGTGCAAAGAGTCAAGCATGTGAGAGCAGTAGGGGAGGCAGCAGTGTCTGTCACAGGGACCCTCTCCCAGGCAGACAGGTCAAGACAGGAGTAGAGTAAGTGTGAAGCCAGAGGATTAGTAGAGGCCTGAAAGGGAAGGAGCCACACTTAAGCTGGTGTGTCAGACGGAAACAGAAGCTGTTGTGAATTCACACCAGAGGATAAGTGCTTCTTAGCCCTTCTCCATAGTGTCACACCATTAATAGGCTTTGGTGGGAGACAAGAATGTCATGTAGTAAAGATAAAATTTAAAAACTAACTTGAGCCATAAATGAACTAACCCTTTGTGCTCTGCTAAGAGAGAGCACCGTGCTCCTGGTGTGTCCAGTCCTAGATCAGCCCATGTAAACTTGAGACAGGATCCAGGAAGCTGAACTGAAACATGGGACCATCACAGCCAGGCTGAGAAAGCACTGCTTGGCTGTGTTG